ATCTGCTGGGAGAGCAATACAGCGGTGCATAGACAATCCAGGAAGTTTTTGGAAAGCGTAGGGGACAATTTCCTGGCGCAAGTGCTAGAGGAGCCAACTAGGGGGGGCGCTTTTCTTGACCTGCTGCTCACAAATTAGAATTAGCGGGGGAAGCAAAAGTGGATGGGAATCTGGGAGGCAGTGACCATGAGTTGGTTGAGTTCAGGATCCTGACGCAGGGAAGAAAGGTAAGCAGCAGGATACGGACCCTGGACTTCAGGAAAGCAGACTTCGACTCCCTCAGGGAACGGATGGCCAGGATCCCCTGGGGGACTAACATGAAGGGGAAAGGAGTCCAGGAGAGCTGGCTGTATTTCAAGGAATCCCTGTTGAGGTTACAGGGACAAACCATCCCAATGAGTCGAAAGAATAGTAAATATGGCAGGCGACCAGCTTGGCTTAATGGTGAAATCCTAGCAGATCTTAAACATAAAAAAGAAGCTTACAAGAAGTGGAAGGTTGGACATATGACCAGGGAAGAGTATAAAAATATTGCTCGGGCATGTAGGAATGATATCAGGAGGGCCAAATCGCACCTGGAGCTGCAGCTAGCCAGAGATGTTAAGAGTAACAAGAAGGGTTTCTCCAGGTATGTTGGCAACAAGAAGAAAGCCAAGGAAAGTGTGGGCCCCTTACTGAATGAGGGAGGCAACCTAGTGACAGAGGATGTGGAAAAAGCTAATGTACTCAATGCTTTTTTTGCCTCTGTTTTCACTAACAAGGTCAGCTCCCAGACTGCTGCGCTGGGCATCACAAAATGGGGAAGAGATGGCCAGCCCTCTGTGGAGATAGAGGTGGTTAGGGACTATTTAGAAAAGCTGGACGTGCACAAGTCCATGGGGCCGGACGAGTTGCATCCGAGAGTGCTGAAGGAATTGGCGGCTGTGATTGCAGAGCCATTGGCCATTATCTTTGAAAACTCCTGGCAAACCGGGGAAGTCCCGGATGACTGGAAAAAGGCTAATGTAGTGCCCATCTTTAAAAAGGGGAAGAAGGAGGATCCTGGGAACTACAGGCCAGTCAGCCTCACCTCAGTCCCTGGAAAAATCATGGAGCAGGTCCTCAAAGAATCAATCCTGAAGCACTTGCACGAGAGGAAAGTGATCAGGAACAGCCAGCATGGATTCACCAAGGGAAGGTCATGCCTGACTAATCTAATCGCCTTTTATGATGAGATTACTGGTTCTGTGGATGAAAGGAAAGCAGTGGATGTATTGTTTCTTGACTTTAGCAAAGCTTTTGACACGGTCTCCCACAGTATTCTTGTCAGCCAGTTAAGGAAGTATGGGCTGGATGAATGCACTATAAGGTGGGTAGAAAGTTGGCTAGATTGTCGGGCTCAATGGGTAGTGATCAACGGCTCCATGTCTAGTTGGCAGCCGGTATCAAGTGGAGTGCCCCAAGGGTAGGTCCTGGGGCCGGTTTTGTTCAATATCTTCATAAATGATCTGGAGGATGGTGTGGATTGCACTCTCAGCAAATTTGCGGATGATACTAAACTGGGAGGAGTGGTAGATACGCTGGAGGGGAGGGATAGGATACAGAAGGACCTAGACAAATTGGAGGATTGGGCCAAAAGAAATCTGATGAGGTTCAATAAGGATAAGTGCAGGGTCCTGCACTTAGGATGGAAGAACCCAATGCACAGCTACAGACTAGGGACCGAATGGCTAGGCAGCAGTTCTGCGGAAAAGGACCTAGGGGTGACAGTGGACGAGAAGCTGGATATGAGTCAGCAGTGTGCCCTTGTTGCCAAGAAGGCCAATGGCATTTTGGGATGTATAAGTAGGGGCATAGCGAGCAGATCGAGGGACGTGATCGTTCCCCTCTATTCGACATTGGTGAGGCCTCATCTGGAGTACTGTGTCCAGTTTTGGGCCCCACACTTCAAGAAGGATGTGGATAAATTGGAGAGAGTCCAGCGAAGGGCAACAAAAATGATTAGGGGTCTGGAACACATGACTTATGAGGAGAGGCTGAGGGAGCTGGGATTGTTTAGCCTGCAGAAGAGAAGAATGAGGGGGATTTGATAGCTGCTTTCAACTACCTGAAAGGGGGTTCCAAAGAGGATGGCTCTAGACTGTTCTCAATGGTAGCAGATGACAGAACGAGGAGTAATGGTCTCAAGTTGCAGTGGGGGAGGTTTAGATTGGATATTAGGAAAAACTTTTTCACTAAGAGGGTGGTGAAACACTGGAATGCGTTACCTAGGGAGGTGGTAGAATCTCCTTCCTTAGAGGTTTTTAAGGTCAGGCTTGACAAAGCCCTGGCTGGGATGATTTAACTGGGAATTGGTCCTGCTTCGAGCAGGGGGTTGGACTAGATGACCTTCTGGGGTCCCTTCCAACCCTGATATTCTATGATTCTATGATTCTATGATAACCCCCTGCTCCACGCATGGGAACAGCAAGGGCAGCACATGGAGCCCTGTGCCCTCGCCCCTTAGGGGCTGTAGGGACGTGGTTCCAGCCGCCTCCCAGAGCAGCACAGGGCGGGGCCAGGGCAGGCAGGCAGGGAGCCTGCCCTGGCCCTGGTGCGCACCGCTGCCACCCCGGAGCTGCTCTAGGTAAGTGGCACCAGGCTGGAGCCCGCACCTCAAACCCCTTCTGCATGCTGCACCCCAACTCCCTGCCCTGAGCTCCCGCCACACGCTGCACCCCTCCTGCACCCCAACCCCTTGCCCCAGCCCTGCGTACAATTTTCCCACCCAGATGTGGCCCTCGGGCCAAAAAGTTTGCCCATCCCTGGCCTAGGTCCATCCTCTTTGGAACCCCCTTTCAGATAGTCGAAGGCTGCTATCAAATCCCCCCTCCCTGTTCTCTTGTGCAGACTAAATAAGCCCAGTTCCTGAAGCTTCTCCTCATAAATCACATGCCCCACCCTCCTAATCATTTTCATTGCCCTCCGCTGGACTGTCTCCAATTTATCCCCATCCCTTTTGCAATAAAACTGGATGTAATACTCCAGATGTGGCGACACCAGTGCCAAATAGGGGGGGATAATCACTTCCCTCAATCTGCTGGCAACGCTCCTACTAATGCAGCCCAATATGCCATTGGCCTTCTTGGCAACAAGGGCACCCTGCTGACTCATATCCAGCTTCTCATCCACTGTAATCCCCAGGTCCTTTTCTGAAGAACTGCTGCTGAGCCAGTCGGTCCCCAGCCTGTAGCAGTGCCTAGGATTCTTTCTAAGTGCAAGACTCTGCACTTCTCCTTGTTGAACCTCATCAGATTTCTTTTGGCCCAATTCTCCAATTTGTCTAGGTCACTCTGGACCCTATCCCTACCTTCCAGCATATCTACCTAGCCCAGGCTAAATGGTCCTCCTGCCCCCTCCCCCCCGATTGGCCCTGCATCCAGTAGCCCACCCCCACCCCCCCCGGGAAAGGGCTGGAGTGGGATATGTATATCCTCATGGCAGGATGATATATGTATATCCTCTGCCCTGTCTCTCCAATGTTGAGTCACCATCTCTGCAGACACCTCCGAGAACCAGGTCTCCCTGCAGCTCCACTCCCTGACAGCTGCAGATACTGCCCGGTATTACTGTGCCAGAAACACAGAAAACAGGGGGCAGAGAGAGCTCAGTGGTTTGAGCATTGGCCTGCTAAGCCCAGGGTTGTGAGTTCAATCCTTGATGGAGCCATTTGGGATCTGGGGCAAAAAAAAATTGGGGATTCATTCTGCTTTGATCAGGGGGTTGGACTAGATGACCTCCTGAGGTCCCTTCCAACCATGTGATTCTGTGATACCATGATACAGAGCAAAGCAGTGACTGGTACAAAAAGGGGAAGCAGTTTCCATGCAGACACACAGGGCATTTAACGCCTCACAACTTCCATTAAGTAAATATGGATTTCATCAAACAATCTCCCCAGATAAGATAGTTCCATCCTTAGTAATAGAAATTGACAAAGTAAATAAAATCTTAACATTCATAATTCTGTGTAACTATATACAAATCAAAAAATGTTTAAAAACCCATAAATATTGGCTGTTAATTTATTTTTAAGAACCCCAAATCTATCAAGCCTAATTATCTCCCAACACAGTTTGGCTACAGGCTGTTACTTCCAGCCCTTACACATATCACAGACAGTCCTTTCATCGTTTGGGTGAAGCGTTCTGGCTGCTAATCCAAGGGGAGAGTCTCAAAGGGACACGTGGGACTGGAATTATCAAAGTGCTCAAATCACTAACAATCTGGGTGAGACACTCACAAAACGCAGGCACCGGAAGTCATATTTATCCTCCTGGCAAAAAATCCCACCTGCTTGGGGTTTGTAACAACCTAGAGTGAGCTGTGCAGGGACCGAATTGGTGATTCCTGGGCTATTTATCCCCAATAAACAAACACTCGGGATGGATGGAACAGTCTTGGGGTTTCTCTTCCCTCTCCTGGCTGCCTTTAGGTGACAATTTAGAGGCAACCCAGAGAGAGAGAGAAATAATACTTTTTAAGTGTCAAGTGAATGGGATTAAGGGCATGAACGGGGATTAAGGTGCAAGTGAACGGGGAAGGATAGCTCAGTGGTTTGAGCATTGGCCTACCCAGGGTTGTGAGTTCAATCCTTGAGGGGGCCAGTTAGGGATCTGGGGCAAAAATTGGGGATTGGTCCTGCTTTGAGCAGGGGGTTGGACTAGATGACTTCCTGAGGTCCTCCTAACCCTGGTGTTCTATGTTTTCTGCAAGGTGAAAGAATAATTTAGGGTTAGGAAATAATTTAGGGTTAAGTTTCTGCTTGGGATGGGGGTTCAGTTTTCAAATTAAAATTAGGATCCAGACTAGAGCTCGAGATAGAGGACAGAGTTAGGGATAGGGGTAAGGTTACAAATAATGGCCTAACACACTAAATCAATGGGACATAGGAGCTTCAACACCTTTACAAACCCTCTGGCCCATTCAAACCTCCTTTTCCATGTTCCCATATTGCCCACCACCTTCCCCAGCCGTACAGGATGATCCCTGGTACCGACAGGGACACACCAATAGAAATTCTCTCCGTGTAGATGACTTTGGGGTGGACTCAGGGCTTTTATGACACTTTCCATGAGTCAATCGGTTCAAAGGCCTCCTCAGAGCGCAAACTCACTGGTAATTCAGGGGTTTGGGAAGAAACTTCCCCTCTGAGCAGGATATTCCACAATATCGCCACCTTGTGACGCTTCTGTCCCTGGCCGCGGACACAGACAGCTGGGCTCTGGGTCAGACCAGCCTCAGACATTCTTGTCAACTGCTGGAATGGCCTCAGACGTTCTTGTCATCTTGATTATCACTACAAAAGGTTTTTGGTTTTGCTTTCCCTCCCGCCCGTCTCCTGCTGGTAATAGCTCACCCTACCTGATCACTCTCGTTACAAAGTGCATGGTAACACCCATTGTTTCATGTTCTCTGTGTATATAAAACCTCCCCGTTGTATTTTCCACTACATGCATCCCATGAAGTGAGCTGTAGCTCACGAAAGCTTATGCTCTAATAAATGTGTTAGTCTCTAAGGTGCCACAAGTCCTCCTTTCCTGTTTGCAGATATGGACTAACATGGCTACTCTGAAAACAGATCAGCCCCTTGGCAATTCCAGTGTCACCTTTCGTGCTGGGAGGGGAAATACCCAGTGATCCGGGGAAGGGGAGAGATGGCTCCCACCCTGCTTTATACCCCCGGGTGCTGTGGCTCCCATGCTGGGTTTCACTACATGAGAGAAGCATTTAGGGCCAGCTCTGAACCCCATGGCAGTGAAGGCAGCGATGGTCTCTGGGTGAGGCCCTCAGAGCACTGCCCTGTCTCACTGACTCTCCCTGGGGAAACGTGCAGAGAGCTGGATTCTGCCTCTCTCCATGTAAAATGCAGCCATGGCCCAGTGGGGTGTCTCCATCCAACCAGAGGCAGCCCCTTTCATCTCACAACTTCCATTAGTATTCTCCCTCACTCATCAGGAACCAATCACCCCCCTCTGGAATGCCTTCTGTCTGGGCAGGGCAGTTGTACTTGGTGGGGTTTAAGGGTCCTAAACACCGTTTGACCCTTTTTCTCTCCATGGTATAATAAAAGAGGTAATTTAGACTCTATTCAGAGTCTTGTTACATTCTGCAGAGCTAGAGTCACTGTTGTCTAGGTCTTAGACCTACTTTGGGACAGTGTGTCTATTGCAAGAGACTGTCCATTATGCACCAGCAGTGAGGGTCCCCCATTAACAGCTGAAATCACTGAGAGATGTGTTAAGTGTGGGAGAGGGCCCTGAAGACATCTTGGTGAGTGAGCCGCTGGTGGTGAGGTGTGGCAAGTGGCCAGCAGGGCAGCTGGTGGAGAGGCACGACCAGCAGGGCGACTGGCGGAGAGGCGTGGCAAGTGGCTAGCAGGGTGGCTGGCAGAGATGGCCAGAGCAGAGCCCCGCAGAGGCGTGGAAGGCAGCCGTTGGGGTGATGAGTGAACGCCTGAGCAGTGTAGTGTGTAAGGTGCCTCCTTACCCCCACCCCTGCCTTCCACACAGAGTGGGAGGTGAACTCTGCAGATGAACCTCTGAACTCCAGGGCTGCACTGGCCAAGAACAGCAACAGTGAGTGCAGTACAGAGAAGGGTCAGACACGTTAAACAGACTCTTGGGTTGCTGGACTTAAGACCCTGAGGGGAAAAGGACACTGCCCAACTTACTTGGGGTGGGTCTTTTGCTCAAGGTTTGTGTTTATGAACCCTAGTTGCAGTGTTTTCCCAAATTAATACTGAGCCCTCCTTTTATTAAAAGTTTTTGCTACACTCAGACTTTGTGCTTGCGAGAAGGGAAGTATTGCCTCTTAGAGGTGCCCAGGGGATGTTGTGTAATTGTTCCTGGTCACTGTGTCCGATTCCTCCAGGTCTACAGTCCTTTGTGGATGTTGCCATTGGTCATGGATCCAGCAGGGTTGGAGGGGTGGGACAGGCTGCCAAAAAACAGACATCCCTAACTCTAGAAGATAGAGTTAGGAATAGGGCCAGGGTTAGAGATAAATGCAGGGTTAGTGTTAGGGTTGTGACGTTGCACTCCATATGCTTTATGGAAATATGCTAATGAGTGTGAATATGTTGTAACTGGAATATGCTTCATGCAAAAGGTCTCTTGTAAGGTGTCATTACAAAGCTTATAATCTACTGTGTGTTTTCATCCTATTTGTATGCATGTATCATTCTTGTCTCTGAAGCTAGAAATATGAAGTATAACTCTGAGGTCCTCTTGTAACTATGCAAAGTGTGGGCCATTAATGGTGGTTTAGAATCTTCATGGCTCCCATTCACTAGGACAATTGGTTGTAGATGGTTTATTTACCTGCAAGCCTTCCTGTGGACCTGTAGGCCAGCCTATGGGTAATGAAGAATGAGGTCTTACAGTGATATGTGACCATGTCACATGATACTGGAATCCATCTTAAATCTGGTACTCTTCCATTTAGAAAGAGGGGTGGAGACCCAGAGAGTCAAAATATTCCCACCTTGTGCCAAAGCTATAAAAGGGTGTGGAACAGAACAAAGGAGGCAGCCAGTCATAAGAAAGCCCCTGCTTTCCATCTAAGATGTCTGCTGGAACTAACAAGGACTGTACCAGGGGAAAGGATTGGGCCCACACTATGAAGGAGTCTAGTCTGTGAAAGGTTTCAGAGTAGCAGCTGTGTTCGTCTGTATCTGCAAAAGGAAAAGGAGGACTTGTGGCACCTTAGAGACTAACAAATTTATTTGAGCATAAGCTTTCGTGAGGTACAGCTCACTTCATCGGATTCATTCATCGGAATGCATCCGATGAAGTGAGCTGTAGCTCACGAAAGCTTATTGCTCAAATAAATTTGTTAGTCTCTAAGGTGCCACAAGTCCTCCTTTTCTTTTTGTAGTCTGTAAAAGAAACTTGCAACATCTCTGAGGGTGAGATTTTACCTGTAAACAGTTTCTTAATGTGTTAGGCTTAGACTGGTGTGTTTTTGCTTTCTTTTGCTTGGTATCTTACTTTCTTCTGTCTGTTTTTACTTGGAACCACTTGAATCCTACTTTTTATACTTAATAAAATCACTTTTGTTTATTAGTGAACCCAGAGTAAGTGATTAATACCTGGGGGAGCAAACAGCTGTGTATATCTCTCTATCAGCCTTATAGAGGGCAGACAATTTATGAGTTTACCCTGTATAAGCTTTATACAGAGTAAAATGTATTTATTTGGGGTTTGGATTCCATTGGGAACTGGGTGCCTGGGTGCTGGAGATAGGTGACCTGCTGAGCAGTTTTTGGTTAAAGCCTGTGGCTTTGGGGGTGTGGACCAGACCCAGGTCTGTGTTTGCAGCAGGTTAGCGTTTCTGGGTCAACAAGGCAGGGTTCTGGAGTCCCAAGCTGGCAGGGAAAACAGGCTCAGAGATAACTTCAGCACATTAGGTGACAGTCCCAAGGGGGTCTCTGTGACTGAACCAGTCACAAGGGTTATGGCTATGGTTAGGGTTATGGTTAGGGGAAAGGTATAATGGAAAAAAAAATAAAATGATGGTTTTGGACAGCTGAAGTAAAGTGATTCTTTATCTTGACAGGAAGAACGTTGACAATATAGAATCAAAATAAGTGGAACTGTAATGTTCTTAGGACCAGATTTTTAACATTATTTAATTATCTAACTCCTTAAAAGGGGGGACCAGATTCTATGCAGTGCAGTGAGACCCCTTTTAGATGGATATGGTATCCTGGCTGTGACACGCACGTTCACATGAACACGAACTCATGCACAGCGATCCCCCTGCACACACACACACATACAGACTGACGCAGTAAATCGAATTTGAACACCAGATACCAAAAATAAAATCTTCTCTCTCTCTCTTTCTGACACTCACACACACACTTATAGACTAACCCAAAGTGAATCGAATATGAACACAATACATAAACGGTTGTATTAAACAAAAGAAGCTTTAGGTAATTTCTTTCTACGCGTGCCCCATCCAGAGCAACGTCTGCCTGATGTCCCACAAAACACTGTCCCAAAGTTCTGTTGTGAGACACAACTTCAGTGAAAATGTGGATCGGCATAACCCGACGTGCCAGGAGAATTATGTGAAACAGAAATAAAATAATGTAAGGGCACAGACAGGGAAAGATGGAAAGTTTAGCGCCCTCTCCATCCCAGCCAAGACAGGATGAAGACGTGTTTCCCTTGATTCCATCAGACAATACTCCTCACCTAGACGGCTCCCTGTCGCCTTATATCCACTGGGTGCAACTCGCATGCAAATCCCGCCCCACGGGGTTGCTGTTTAAATACAAACCACTGACTCTATGAGCTTCAGTCTCTCCCCAGACACAGAACTGCCCGGTCCTGCCCGCTGGGGAGTTTCCCTCATTGCGTGAAAATTAGAATGAAGTCTCTGTTGCTTTTCCTTTCCCTGTTCTCCACCCCCACATGTAAGTGTCTATGGGGCTGTGGGGGAATTAGGGGCAGAACCATAGATTTGTTCGGTGCTAATACTTTCCGCACTTTGTTTCCTTTTCCCAGGTGTCCTCTCTCAGGTGCAGCTGGTCCAGTGGGGCCCGGGAACGGTGAAGCCCGGAGAAACCCTCACCCTGAACTGCGCTGTCTCCGGGTTCTCCATCTCTACTCGGTATTACAGATGGAACTGGATCCGGCAGCCCCCCGGGAAAGGGCTGGAGTGGATGGGGTATATTTACCCGTATAGTAGCGGGAGCACAGGCTATGCCCCGTCTCTCCAAGGCCGAGTCACCATCTCTGGGGACGCTTCCAAGAATCAGGTCTCCCTGCAGCTCCGCTCGCTGACAGCCGCGGACACCGCCAAGTATTACTGCGCCCGGAGAGACACAGTGACACGGGGCAGAGCGGGGCTGGTACAAAAAGGGGAAGCGGCTCGAAGCGGCCGCCTGAGGCCCGAGAAGCAGGGCTCGCTGAGCCCCTCGGAGATGAAGACACACACAGCCGACTGAGTATGAACAAGCCGCACGCTAAGAGACGTCTTGTAAAAATGCCTCCAGCGGCCACCCTGTTTCTCCGGACCCCGTTTACCTTTCCGCTGCCACAGGAAGCGTTGCAGACTTCCCGGGAAATGGGTCATTTGTTACATTACATTTATTAGAGTAACAAGCAGAGAGAGATTCATGGCAATACAGTTAGTTACACAAACATCAGGCAGGAACCCTGTGTCGGTCGGTTTGCCTGTGTGTGAGTCTCACTCTGTCCAGTAGGGGGCAGCAGTTCTCCCCCTAGCGGTACTTCTGGACTAGGAAAGCCCCGAAGCGAAGGGGCCGCGTCCCCGCCGTGTGGGGTCCCAGACCAGGTCTCCCCGCAGCTCCGCTCCCAGGTAGGGCCAGAGAGCAGAGCGGGGACGGGGGAGGCTAATACAACCATTCCTGTTCACCGCCGCGGCTCATGAAATACTGCGTGATCAGCCCCCTGCGCCCCCGGCCCTTACGCCCAGACTGGAGAGCGGGCTGGGGCCACGACTCCAGGCAGAGACGGCGGGTCCCCACTTCACAGCGGCACAAGACGCGGTGGGAAGCCCAGGGCATGATGGGAGAGAGAACACGCACCAGGTGAGAGTGAGCCAGCGCCCATGATGCACTGCGATGCATTCCCCATTCCCACAATTCCTAGCAGCGGCTGGTGGTGGGTTGTGCCGTGGGATATACCCAGGGTGCACTGCTCTCTCTGTCCCGGCGGGAGAGCCAAGTGTGGACCTGCTCCGCCCGCACAGGGAGCCGCGTGTGAACCTGCACGAGCGATGCAACTGTAGCAGGGAGCAAGACGCTGGCCACGTCTCTCGAGAGGGTGGCGCCTGCAAACAAAACCGTTCCTCCCCCTCGATTGTGCGTCTCCCTTCAGGGCTCCTGCAGTCCCAGCTCTCAGGATGGGACGCCCCAGAAGATGCATCTTCTCTCCATGCCCAGTTCCTCCCTTTCAGCTACAGCTGTTTGTCAGCCTCTGGAGCCTGAAACCAGCCTTTCGCTCCCCCTGCGGCTGCCACTCCGTCCCCCTCAGATGTTCCCAGGAGCTTCGTTTCCGTTGGCAGAGTCTGGACATGCCTTGTATTTATTCCATTTGCCCAGCACATTCTGCAGTAGCCACGGCTCCAATGGAGAGAAACCCATTGACTTCCCTGGCCTGTGGGTCACACCCTAAGAGATGAAGGGGGCTGTGTCTCTCCTACCCAGCAGACAGACTGGCCTACCTAGAGGTCTCCCTGCTAGTTTATTCTCGCTGGATGAAATCTGCATGGAAATGCCTGGCCTAGGGGGTTCTCCTGAGTCCCAGCCCTGGCAACTGTCCTCTGGACCCACTTTCCTACCCTCAAACAGGCATCACTTGTCCTTATTTGCGTGCTGAGCTGAGTGCATGGTCTCTCTGGGGTGTAAAGGGGACACCTATCCCCGAGGGGACATCGCCATGTACTGAGCGAGTGCCCTGGGGGGTTCTGTTTAAATACAACCCCCTGGTTCTAGGAGCCTAGTCTCTCCCCAGACACAGAACTGCCCATTCCTCCCTGCTGGGGAGTTTCCCTCCTTGCCTGAAAATGAGAATGAAATTTCTGTGGCTTTTCCTTTCCCTGTTCTCTGCCCCCACTTTTGAGTGTCTATGGGGCAGTGGGGGAATTAGGGACAAATTCATAGATACATTCCGTGGCTAATTCTCTCCTTGCTTTGCTTTTCCCAGGTGTCCTCTCTCAGGTGCACCTGGTCCAGTCCGGCCCGGGAGCGGTGAAGCCCAGAGAGACCCTCACCCTGACCTGCGCTGTCTTCAGGGTCTCCATCCCTGACAGCAGCTAGGTCTAGGCCTGGATCCGGCAGCCTCTTGGAAAAGGGCTGCAGTGGGCGGGAGGGATTTTTCCACATGGCGGGAGCACAGCCTACACCCCGTCCCTCCAAGGCCGACCCACGGTGTCTGCAGACACCGCCAAGAACCGGGTCTCCCTGCAGCGCCGCTCCCTGACAGCTGTGGAAACCACCACGTCTTCCTGTGCTAGGAGCTACCCAGTGACATGGAGCAAAGCAGAGACTGGTACAAAGGGGGGAGCATTTTCCAGGGCCCTTTGAAAGCTATTTTTCCAACAGTGGCTGACACTGAATATATTTACAGGGCTGGGGGGGGGGGGGGTGAATACAGTCCTGTCCCTGTGCCCTGCTACGACAAACACAGATCAGGATTCGTTCCCTGCAGCTGGGACAGGAGTGACACAAACACCCATGTGCACCATGTCTCCTTCTCTCTGCAACGAAGCAGGAATCACCCACCCCTCTATTCTGCATGAAAAGGGGCTACATTTCTCCAGGGTCCATCTCACTCCTGTGGCCCTGCCCTCACTGGCCTTGCTCTCACCAGGCCCAGAAGTTGCCTCTTCTCTCCACGGCCCGTTCCCTCCCTTTTCACCAAGGCGGTGCCACTCGCTGGTGCCTAAAACCAGCCTTTCCCTCCCAGCAGCTGCGGCTGCTTCTCCGTCCCACGTTCCCAGGAGAGTCTCTTTGGTGCCGACAGTGGCTGTACCTGGATTATGTTTTTTATTTTCTTTGCCAAGCACATTCTGTAGCAGCCCCTGCTCCAGGGGAGGGAAGGCCCGTGGTTGGGTCACACCCTAAGACAAGAAGGGGGGGTGTGACTCTGTCACCCACCAGACAGCCCTGCCTGGCTAGGGGGTCTCCCTGCTACTTCATCCCCACTGGGCAAAACCAGCAGTCAAATCCCTGTCCTAGCGAGTTCTCCTGGGTCCCAGCCCACAGCTCTGTCCTTGGCACCCTCTTTCCTCCCCTCCCAGCCACCTCCTGCCATTCCATGTGGGCTGAGCTGAGCGCACAGTCTGTCTGGGGTGCAAAGGGGACCCCTGTCCCCTAGGGGACATTGCCATGTCCTGAGCGCTCACCCCCTGGAATCTCTTATAGCCACCCTGGAGAACCCGCATGCAAATCCCAGCCAGGCGGGGGTTCCTGTATAAACACAACCCCCTGGCTCTGGGAGCCCCAGTCCCTCCGCAGACACAGAACTGCCCAGTCCTGCCCTCTGGGGAATATCCCTTATAGGAAAACAAGAATGAAATCTCTGTTGCTTTTCCTTTCCCTGCTCTCTGCCCTCTCCTGTGAGTGTCTATGGGACAATGGGGGAATCCGGGACAGATCTGTAGATTTGTTTGGTTGCTAATTCTCTCTTTGCTCTGCTTTGCTTTCCCCAGGTGTCCTCTCTCAGATGCAGCTGGTCCAGTCCAGCCCGGGAGCGGCGAAGCCTGGAGAGACCCTGACCTGCGCTGTCTCCGGGATCTCCATCTCTGCTCAGAATTCCCTTTGGCACTGGATCCGGCAGCCCCCCAGAAAGGAGCTGGAGTGGATGGGATATGTGTACACATATAAGGGGCTACCTCGTCTCTCCAAGGCCGAGCCACCATCTCTGGAGACACCGCCAAGAACCAGGTCTCCCTGCAGCTCCGCTCGCTGACAGCCACGGACACCGCCAGATATTACTGCGCCAGAGACACAGTGACACGGGGCAGAGCGGGGCTGGTACAAAAAGGGGGAACGGTTTCTAAGCAGCCCAGTGAGGCCAGGGTTACAGGGAGAGTTGAGCCCCTCACAGAGAGAGAGAGATGCAGTGGGGAGACTGTGAAAAACACAGGTACAAACATCTATTTCTGAAAATGAAGCCACCCAGTTCCTCTGTACACGATTTACCTGGGAGCTGCCACGGGAATCATGTCAAAGTCACCAACCAAACTCAGTGATTTGTTCACATTGACATGCTCATAGGAATGGGGCGGGGGGGTGGGGGGGAGTTGTGGAAGTACAGAGTGAAACAAAGTCACTTGGCACCTAGTATCAGTGCCTGCATGGGGCTGTTTGCCTGGGGCCGTGGGAGTGAGTGTGCTTGGTTTGTGTAGCTCAGATATCTCCTCGCCTTAAGCACACAACAGGAACACCACCCATGCAAAGAGGAACAAGCAACTTTCAAGTCTTCCAGCAGGGGGCAGTATCTCTCACTCGCTCACTCACACCCCCCCCTACTGTCAGGGCTTCCCTTCACCAGACCGAAAGCAGAAGGCCAGAGTCCAGAGTGCCGGCAATGCCATGTTTATTGAGGTTACCAAGCAAGCATAATCCACAGCTCTGTACACCAGCCGAGCTGTTCCCCACAGCTGTCCCCCTCCACTTTCTTAGCAGGCTTATTTACACCTGTAGAGCACGCCCCTGCTCCCACCCCTTACAGTTTAGGGTCATGTTCCCTTCTGGACGGTCCTGAGTCTGGGGCACCACCTCTGTTGTACCCCATGGGAGGGGTAGGGAGTGAGGTTGTGTTTCCGCCAGGGTCACCGTTTCTTTGGCTTTTAGTGTTTCTTATACCTGCCCCCATCCCCCTCGCCCCTCCCCACTGGTTGCTTGACCTTGGCTTGGGAGAGGAGTGGGGCAGCCTTCAGTGTAGCTCGGATATTAAATTCCCACCACGGCCAGCAACACTAACTCTATTCCTTATCTGTTCTCATTGTGCGATAAACCCCACCTGGCCGTGGGCAGACCCAACGCACAATGTCTTTGGTCTTTGTTCCCACCTGTTTCTAAGGATCTACGAATATCAAAAGTCAAACGAAAAGGAGGACTTGTGGCACCTGAGAGACTAACAAATTTATCTGAGCATAAGCTTTCGTGAGCTACAGCTCACTTCATCGGATGCACCCAAAGTTCTAGCCCAGGCTAATACACAGGCCCAAATACTATATTACCATCACTAAACCGACCTCTTCTCCTTCCAGCCACCCTCAGTCAGATGCTGAGTTTTGTCCCCTGCATGTTGCTGAGCCTCTCCCCGGTGCCCCTGTCATCACAGCCTTTGTTCTGACAAAACCCAGGAGCTGCATCTTCTCGCCAGGCCCCAATTCACTGAAGCTGTCTCTCATGCTCTGGTGCCCCAGCCAAGCCTTTCTCTCCCCGCAGCTCTGGCACCTTCCCCCTCCGACGCTCCCAGGAGAGTGTCACTCGTCTGGGCATCTCCTCTCTGTTGCTCTTATTTCTCAGCTATGCCCAGGGCTTTCTGCAGACAGCCCTGCTGGAAGGTCCCGCAAACCCCACTTGGGTGCCCGATCCAAAGCCCATTGATTCCCTATGAAAGACTCCTGTGACTTCAATACGGTTTGTGTTACATCCTAAGACATGAGGGGGGGGTGTGTGATTTCCCCCATCCGCCAGCTACCACTGCCTAGCTAGAGATCTCCCTTTTAATTTATAGCCTCTGTCTGAAACCCGCATGCAAATCCCTGCCCCGGGGGTTCCTGTTAAATACAAAGCCTGGTTCTAGGAGCCTCAGTCTCCCCCCTCCCTCCCCCCCAGAACTGCCCGGTCCTGCCCGCTGGGGAGTTTCCCTCATTGCATGAAAACAAGACTGCAATCTCTCTTGCTTTTCCTTTCCCTGTTCTGCGCCCCCAGCTGTGAGTTTTTCTGGGGCGGGGTGTGTGTGTGTCGGGGGAGGGGGATTACGGGCAGCTCCACAGAGGTGTTCAGTGGCTGATTCTGTGCTCGCTTTCTTTCCCTTTCCACAGGTGTCCTCGCTCAGGTGCAGCCGGTCCAGTCGGGCCCGGGAACGGTGAAGCCCGGAGAGACCCTCACCCTGACCTGCGCTGTCTCGGGTGTAGCCATCACTGACAGCAGCTACGGATGGGACTGGATCCGGCAGCCCCCTGGAACAGGGCTGGAGTGGGTGGGAGGGATTTATCCACATGGCGGGAGCACAAGCTAGGCCCCATCCCTCCAAAGCCGAGTCACCAGCTCTGGAGACACCGCCAAGAACCGGGTCTCCCTGCAGCTCCGCTCGCTGGCAGCCGCAGACCCCGCTGCCGTCCCCGCGCCAGAGACCCCGGGACACGGAGCAGAGAAGGGACTGGCACAGAAACGGGAAGCGGGTTCTCAACAGCCTCGTGAGGCCTGAGACGCGCAGAGGGGAGAATGCGGCGAACAGATTCTTCTAAAAATGCCTCCAGCTGCCACCAAGTTTCTCTGGTTACCTCGGAGCTGCCACAGGAATCACGTCAACCTCACCGACAACCAACATGCAGATCCCGGTCCCTGCGGGGTCTCCTGAGTCCCAGTCTAGTGCCCTGCCCCCTGGGCCCTCCTCCCAACCTCCTCCCTGCGTAGGCTTAAAGGAAGGGAAGCGAGTCAAGTCCTGAACCCTGCCCCATGCAAAGATACACAGGGACCAAGACGCATGCCATGCGCCAGGGCAGTGGTTCTCAACCAAGGGGACGTGTATTCCTGGGGTACGCAGAGCTCTTCCAGGGGCTACATCAGCTCATCTAGATACTTGCCTAGTTTTAGGACAGGCTGCATTGACTAGTCAAGTCAATACCAGCTTAACTTCCAACTACCGTGCTCCGTAGTTCTTTGGGGAAGTCTCATTCCGGCATGGCTGCCATGACCGCCCTTGTTCAGGCAAAGCCCAGAATTTGCTTCTCCTCTCTCTGCCCCATCCCCTCCCTTTCCATTAAAGTTGGTTCTCAGACTGAGAACTCGGGTCCCAATTCTCTGATCCCACAAAGGAAGTTTCTGGCCCTGCAGCTCTGGCTCCTTCCACATCGGACATTCCCAGGAGAGCATCGCTCCACTTCCTGGCCCCTGGGTGTTGTTTATATTTTTTGATATTCGGCAGCAGGTACTTCTCCAGTGGAGAGACAAGCATGGCCTGCACTGGGCTTTGCCTCCCACCCTGGCTCTCCTGCCCACCAGACAGCACGGCCTAGCCAGAGCTCTCCCTGTTAGAGTATCTCCACCGGGTGAAACCAAGAGTCAAATCCTGGTCCCAGTGGGTTCCCCTGAGTCCCAGCCCTGGCGACTGTCCTCTGGACCCTCCAACCCACCCTTCCGCAGCCACCTCCTCCCACATGTGGGCTGAGCTGAGTGCCCGGGCTCTCGGGGGGGTAGAGGGGACCCCTGTCCCCGAGGGGACAGCGTCGTGTGCTGAGCGCTCACCCCTGTCATCTCTTACACCCACCCTGGGGAACCCGCATGCAAATCCCTGCCCCCGGGGTTCCTGGTTAAATACCAACTCCTGGTTCTAGGAGCCTCTGTCTCTCCCCGGACACAGAACTGCCCGGTCCTGCCTGGTCCTGCCTGCTGGGGAGTTTCCCTCATTGCATGACAATGAGAATGACATGTCTGCTGCTTTTCCTTTCCCTGCTCTCTGCCCCCAACCTGTGAGTCTCTCTGGGGCAGTGGGGGAACTAGGGACACACACACAGTCAGTGGCTAATTCCTTCCTTGCTTCGTTTTGCTTTCCCCAAGTGTCCTCTCCCAGCTGCGGCTGGTCCAGTTCAGCCCGGGGGCGGCAAAGCCTGGAGAGACCCTCACCCTGACCTGCGCTGTCTCCGGGTTCTCCATCACTAGCAGCGGTTATGGTTGGGACTGGTCCAGCAGCCCCCCACACAAAGGGCTGGAGTGGCTCGGGTATATAAACTCTGCTGGGGGCACAGGCTACATCCCATCTCTCCAGAGCTGCCTGAGCTTCTCCAGGGACACGGCTAAACATGCGCTCTCCCTGGCCTTCACAGTATCCTCTGGCAAGGAGTTCCACAGATTGACTGTGCCTTGTGTGTCTGTTTAAAAAGGCCCCCAGGGAAAGCTTTCCATTTCCCGTGTTCCTCATTCCTGTCACTACAACCCCTGGCCAAAGACTGCATCTATTCTCAGGGCCCAGTTCCCTCCCCTTTCCCCAGAGCTATTCCTCAGTCTGTGCTCCTAACCCGGACCTTTCCTTGCCCATTAGCTACTCCGAGGAGAGTCTCAGCATCGGGACATCCATTCCCCTTATTGTCTCTGCCCACCCACGGGTGCAGCACCCGCTGCTGAGATGTTTATTTTACAATCCCAGACGCGGGGGGGCGGGTCTGACTCTTCCATCCCCCACACAACACTCCAGCCTCCTGGGAAGTTTATCCCCACTCGGGGATACCCACATGCTAGTCCCTGGCGGGTGGGGGGGATGCTTGCGGTGATGGGCGCCAGCCTCAGACCCCGGACAGATGGAACCGGGCCATGCTGATGAGCCGGTCGCTAATGCTTGGTTCACCCCCCGCCCTGTCACACAGCTAATGAGGGGAGACTGGCCAATGGGCGCCGGAGATCGCTCCTTCTTCCGGCTCCTTTTCAAGAGGGAAGGGGGAGGTTGGGGTGTTTTATGCAAATCTCAGGCCTGTGTTCCCCATGTAACACACACATACACACATTTTCCCCGTTCCCCATGTAACACACACACAGAGATTTTCCCCGTTCCCCGTGTAAAGAGCAGCTCCTGGGTTCTCACCAGGACCTGCCTGCTCAGGGCGTGACCCACATCTTCATTGGTTTGCGTCTCACTTGAAGACCAACATGAAATCTTTGCTCCCCCTCGTGCTGTCACTGGCCGCTGCCCCGGGTGCGTGTCCAGGGGAGATTTGGGAGACAGGATCGATGCCTTGAAGCAGAATTGGGGTCTTAACGCTGTGTTTTCCTTTCCCCAGGTGTCTTGTCCCAGGTGCAGCTGGTCCAGTCCGGCCCGGGCGTGGTGAAGAGACCCTCACCCTGACCTGCGCTGTCTCGGGTGTCTCCATCACTGACCGCAGCTGTGCCTGGCTCTAGGACCGGCAGCCCCCGGCGAAGGGCTGGACTGGCTCGGGTGTATAGGCTCTGCCGGGGGCACAGGCTACACCCCATCTCTCCAGAGCCGCCTGAGCTTCTCCAGGGACACGGCTAAACATGCGCTCTCCCTGCCGCTCCCCTCGCTGACAGCCGCCGACAGGTCCTGCGCCAGACACAGAGCAATGCAGGGACCGGTACAAAAACCGGGGCGGCCTCTACTCAGCCCGGCGAGGCGAGGTTAGCAGGGATCGCTCAGCCCCAGACAGAGCCACACACCGTGAGCGGAGTAGGAAAAACCAGGCAGATCCCCAGCTCTTTCCAAAATGCACCCAGCCGCTGCCCGGTTCTCCACCCACGATTCACCTTCGAGGGCTCGAGCGGAACTTAGCCGGGAAATAAAATTCTTTGCTTGTAGCCAAATGGGTCCAGGCACAGACACGGGGAGACACCGGGACATACAGAATTACACCAAGCAGCAAAGGCAGCTTGGGTGATGTGGGGGGCACTGTACAGACGTGATTAACGACACACATTTCTATAGTAATACCCCCCCAACTCACCGCCTCCCTGAGGGGGCGGCAGTCGGTCCCTCTCCCTGGCTCAGAGAGCACCTGCCCTGCTGTACTCAGCACCCTAACACACTGAGCGGCCCATCCCCCTCTAGTGTCTCTTTCTGTCTGGGTCCCTGCACTCACAGCCCTTGCTCTGACCAAGCCCGGGGCTGCCCCGTCCCCTCCCCATTCATTGCAGGGGCATGTTGGGTTCTGCTACCTAAAACCACCCTTTTCCTGCAGCTCCGTCTCCTCCCGATCTCACATTTCTAGGAGTGTCTCATCTCACTTGGCCTTTCCCAGGGACTATTTGTATTTATTTTATTTAACCAGCACATTTGGCAATAGCCACTTCTGTGTTGGCGAGTCACCTATTGACTTGAGACAGTCACTTGCTCAGAGACGAAAGCGATGTAGGACTCTCCTACCCAGCACTGCCTTGTCTCTCTGGGAGTTTATCCTCCCTGGGTGACATCCACATGCCAATCTTTAGCCTATGGAGTTCTCTTCGGTCCCAGTCCAGGGCCCTGGACCCTCCTTCCTACCCTCCCAGCCACCTTCTGTCACTACAGGTGGGCTGAGCTGAGCGCCCGGTCTCTCTGGGGTGTAAAAGGGACCCTTGTCCCCGAGGGGACAGCGCCATGTGCTGAGCGCTCACCCCCCTCATCTCTTAGACCCACTCTAAGAAATACACATGCAAATCTCTGCCGGCGGGGGGTCCTCTTTAAACACAAACCTCTCGTTGTAGGTGCCTCAGTCTCCCCCCAGACACAGACCTGCTCATTCCTGACCGCTGGGGAGTTTCCCTCTTTCCATGGAAACGAGACTGCAATCTCTGTTGCTTTTCGTTTCCCTGTTCTCTGCCTTCAACTGTGAGCGTCTATGGGACAGTGGGGGAACTAGGGACAGACCCACAGATTTGTTCACTGGCTAATATTATCTTTGCCTTTTTCTCCTTTTCCCAGGTGTCCTCTCTCGGGTGCAGCTGGTCCAGTCCGGCCCGAGGGCGGTGAAGCCTGGAGAGACCCTCACCCTGACCTGTGTTGTCTCCGGGGTCTCCAGCTCTGCTCAGTATTGTTTCTGGCACTGGATCTGGCAGTCCACAAGGGCAGGAGTGGACGGGACGGGCATATCCATAGAGCAGGGGGGCAAACTACACCCCATCTCTCCAGGGCCAAGTCACCATCTCTGCAGACCCCGCCAAGAACCAGGTCCCCCTGCAGCTCCGCTCGCTGACAGCCGGGGACCCCGCCGCCCCTGTTCCTGCGCCCGGAGAGACATGGCATCGCAGAGCAAGGAGTGGCAGAAAGAGGGGAAGCTGCTTCTCAGGGGCTTTAATGCCTCTTGCCTCCCATCCGCTCCTCGCTCTGTAGGATGGTGAGACAGGATTTCATCCCAGCTCGCCAGGGCATGACCTTCAGCTCTGACACATTTCACACGGAGGCCCCGGTCCAGTCTCAGGCTATGGAACCGCTCGGAGAGGGCCGCTTTGGCGAGTGACAGGTATTTCCCATGTACTGCCACAAAACTCTTCTTTAAAAGTCATTTAAGTTTTCCGTAAGTGCCGCACCCAACCACGCGAACCTTAAAGGGAAGCAGACACACAACTGCGTAGGCACTTGGCTTCCAACTCACTTCCAACTCAGGCTTCTTTGAAATTCAACAGTCTGGAAACAAAGACATGAAAAGTAAGGCACTCCTCCCTCCTGGAGCGTCACACCCACTCCACGCACTAACTTCTCTTTGTGGCAGACTCCAAACTCTCACAAGGAACACCCTTTCTATCTCCAACAGACCGTGAAACACAGCGCACTCCCCACTTTCATCAAGCTCTTCCGGTAACGCCAACGCTTGGCTGATAATGTCAACCACAGTCAACGAAGTTTCTGCACACACACACACATAAAAACACAAACATGCACTCATGTACAAACACACAAATACACATATAAGCAAACACACACATATGCATAAACACACACACACACACAGAGCACATACAAACACAGATTTTCTCCTTCACCATTTAGAAAGCTATCTAGCATTAATTTAAAGACTGAAAGTGACAGAAAATCCACTGTCTCCCCAGGAAAATTATTTCCCATGGTTAATTCGCCTCATTGTTAAAAATTTTCACCGTATGTCTCGTCTCCATTTGTCTAGCTTCATCCTCTAGCCTTTGAATGGTGTCCTGCCTTTGTCCACTGGATAAAAATGCCATGGACGATCAGAAATCTTTGAAATGGGAAGGAAGAACTGAGTAGAAACAGGAAGGTGAATTTTCCTTATATTTTTATTTATTTTTATATATTTTTATTTATTTTTATTTATTTTTTAAATAAAGTCACTATTTTAAGGTCAATATAATTTACTCTGAACGGTTTATCAAGCTGAAAGCTCAGAGATGAAACATTTGAGACACTCAGATACCGGAACAGAAGACAATCACTGTGTCTTGCTGAATACAAAGATCACCGAGGAGACATCATATAATAATTATACTGATGCGTAGGTGACAAAGGAGCTACCGGGCCAGTCTTGTCTAGTAATTCATCACCACACAGCTAGTGCCAGCTGCTTCTGAGAGGTGCAAGAGTGACCTCCAGTGGACGACTATGGAATGACGCCCCCATGGAGGCTATTTCTCCCTAAAGTTTTCAGGGTTGTGGGCTCAGAAATAGTGGAGAAAGAAAGAAAGAAAGAAAGAAAGAAAGAAAGAAAGAAAGAAAGAAAGAAAGAAAGAAAGAAAGAAAGACGGATTCTATCTATAGCTTGAATTCTTTGCATCCGTCTCTAAAAAGTAGAGACGTTGCGGTGCCCAGCTAGAGATGAGGTAAAGGACATTTGGTACGGTTGTGTATCAGTGTGTTACTGGATATCTGGGGCTCCACAATGACACACCTCCTATCAAAAACCTAAGCACACTGGCTCTCCTGTGAGAAAAGACAGACTCAGGACAACTTCTCATTAGGCTCAACATTTGATTGAAATGCATTGGGCCTCAGCTGGTCATTCCATGCACTTCCATGAAGTTATATCATTTTATACCCCTGGGGGACCATTTTCTTGATATTATTAAAGCAGAGCCTAGTTATTATACTGGTAGCACCCATAGGTCCCAACCTAGATCATGGTCCTATAGTACTTGGCACTGTATATAAACATAGGAAGAGATAGTCCCTGCCCCAAAATTCATTGCAATCTAAACCCAGGTTTTCAAAGGAGCCTGAAATTCCAGAGCCATCTGGGCTCTTCACTCCACTCTATGTTCCCTTGAAAATTCCAGTCTAAATATGCAAGGGGAATGGAGGCACGGAAGGTGAAGTGATTTGCCCAAGATCATACAGGGTCAATGACAGATTGGGAAAGGAACCCAGGTGTCGCAAATCCAAATCCAGTGCTCTACCCAATCATTCCACTCCTCTCCAAAGAGTTAGAGATTTTAAGCAGACATACCTTCTGAAGTGCTGGTCTCACGTTGGTCCGAGTGTTCTAAAAGATCTCAGTTGAATTCAAATATAGGAATTGGCCTCACGGCTCCTACCACTGTTCTGTCTCCAGTCGCGGTGTAAATCTCCTGTCTCGGAGAGAGATTTAGTATGGGCATGCGTCACTGTGTACTACAGTGACAAAAGCCATTATAAAAACCTCGTTCTGCCGGCAGCTGTGCAAAGCAACCCGATTTCAGGTGGCTGCTAGGTTAGTATTCCATCGGAGGGAGCTGAAGACTGAAATTTACAAATCCATCTAAGGCATTTTGATGCCAGGTTCTCAATGAAATGAACAGGAGCGTCCAATGGGAGTCGGGCACCTAACCTGCTTATGCACTTTTGCAAATCCCACTAGATACCTCTCTGCACCTTTTGGTGCCTAAACATCTTTGTAAATGTGACCTTGAATCCTGCAGAGGGCTTTGAAAAATCTCAGACTATATTTCTAAGTAGAGTTGGTCCAGAAAAAAGGAAGGAAAAAAAGTTTTCAGAAAAAGTTTTGGGAAAAATATGTCCCTTTTTTATCAGAAATTTCAGATCTCTGTTTCAGGCAGGTCTTCACTACCCACGGAATCATGATAAATCGATCCCCGAACGCGCTCCCCGTCGACTCCGGCACTTGCGAGAGGTGGAAGCGGAGTCAACGGGGCAGCAGCAGCGGTCGACTGGCTGCCGTCCTCATGGCCAGGTAAGTTGACCTAAGATACTTCAGAATGATCTTATTCCCCTTCTAATCTTCTTCCATGGAAATGAGAAATAAAGCTTCTCTCTCCTACTGAGATTTCCCTGTCCCAGACAAGAAATTTCTCCAATGATGTCTGGAAAATTGACCAGAATGTCACTCTTTATCCATACCAGTACTTCCCAGTTTACTACTTCTAGCTCCTGAGTAACTCAGCCATTCCAGAAATGGGTAGGACACATTCTAGACTGGATTGATTCTCATTAAGAATATCGGAACTGTGTTTTCCCAATTTTCACAATTTTGTAGATATTAAGGCCAGAAAATATAAATTAGATCACCGAGTCTGACCTGCATAAACATAGGCCATAGAATTTCAGCCAGCTACTTCTGTACTGAGGCCAATTACATGTGTTTCACTGAAGCATATTCTCTAGAAAGGCATTCAGGCTTGATCCGAAGACTTCAAGAGACAGAGAGTCTGTCACTTCCCTTGATAGTTTGTTCCAATGGTTAGTAAACTTGACTTTAAAAAACCCAGTGCCTTATTCCCAGCTTGAATTTGTCTGGGTTTAACCTTGAGCCATTGGCTTTTCTTCTGCCTTTCTGTGTTAGATTAAAGAGCTCTTCATACCTGGTATCCTTTTTTATAAGGTAAATATATTGGGCTCCTTAACAGCCTCCCTTTTGTCCTGAGAACAACAAACATGGGGGATGGGGATGCAGCATTTTTCTCTCTCCAATGGATTAAATCTACCTGTTTCGTCATGTTTCTAGCTTTGTATATCTTCCACCCGTCACTGTAGAATGTTAAGGCTCGTTGTGAAAATCCAAAAGAAAAGAAAATGATACAAACTCGAAGAAATTCTCCATTCACCTCTCCGACACCAGCAGCTCTTCACAGCTAGGTGGCTGAACAATCCAAAACTGCATTGGCCAAGTTAGATGAGATAGAAGAGATTTTTGTATGGCTCTGTACCATTGTGTCCTATGGAGTAGCAGCTACCATAGTGAAAAGTCCTCTATCAAAAACATGATAATCTTAGAAGCTGTGCAACAGAGCCCAACAGAGGGCGCACTCCTACATTTTCATATTCACTGCCATTGGATGGCCGAGGATTTTGTCTGACCGGATATCGCTGTGATGGGTGGATGGCTACCAGAGTGACAACTCCCGCCATAAAAATCCTAGATCTTGTTAGAAGCAGCCCAAAGAATTCAGGCAAGGAAAGTTCTCATAGACTTTCCATCACAGCAAAAAAGGGAGGTGGGAAAGCTCCCAGGGGAGGAAATAAATGTTCAGGTGTGCACCTGTAACAATGAGCTGTGCTTCTTCCACACTGGGATTTTCCAAGGGGAGTCAGGCACAAACTTTGGGAGTTAGGTGCCGAACCTGATCACCTATCTGCACCTTTAGCTTCCTCCTTACCTTTGTGGATCTTGCCCTTCGAAATTCCCAGACCATATGGCTAGCGAGAACACTACATATTACTTTAAAGAGGACTGTGGCTGAAACTCACCCCTGTCATTCTGGGCCCTAAGACTTAGAATGCTAAGCTACCCAGGCATGAACTTTAGCTCTGTGAAATTCCTTAAATTCCCTTGAAAATCCCACCCAGACTCAAGGTAACTTCGGTACCTTCCCTGTGAGTTCCCATCCCATCAAAGGTTTGGGTTCTTTTAAGTTTCATCTTAACTCTGGATTTCTTATGGGAGTTTCAGCGGTGTTTTTCTTGTCAGAATAGTTACATATAAGTCAGTTTCCCCTATCCACATCCCCCTTGGATTGAATCTCTGTCTTTCTCTCTCTGTCTCTATATCTTGCCCCCTCCCCATCCTCCACCCCTGGGTCTTATATCAACACCCATTGCTGCAATATCTACTTCTCATGGGGAATATCCACCAGAAAAGAAAACAATCTGATCTTGGGGACATTACTAATTGACTCCTCTCCCAGGTGCAACTCTTTGGAACTGAGTGGAAGAGCTCTGCAAAAAGGCATTGACGGGGTTGAATGGTTCCGCTTCCAGTGGAGGAGGTTTTTGTACAGTTCTGTATCACTGTGATGATTGGGATACCTCCCACAGTGACAAACCCCCAAACAAAAACCCATGTCCAGCAGCAACGACCGAAAGAAATCTCTCTAGTAGGGGTCCTGTCATCACAGAGTCTGGGCATCTGACAAACATGAATAGATTTAGACTCTCAGCACAGCTGTGAAGTAAGGACAGAAAGACACAGAGGAGAACATTGACCCCCCACTTCACAGGGAGATGCAGTTACATATCTATCTAAGCCACTTACATGGCCCTACTACCATAGTACCT